AGCAGGAAGTAGTGTGCGGGGGTATTTTTAACCGGTTGAAATTTGTCTTATGGATAAATTTTCCGTTTCCATTAGATTACGTAGATTTAAAGCAATATCCTGATTGGCTCATCGGCTTTACGAATTAATCAGGGTTGTTAAAAATTACTTTCTCGTTACTTTTTATAATAAACAATTTGATAATGACGTTGCAATTTTTTATGACGGTAACGCTAACTAAATGCTAAGGTTATGCTAAGGCTGGAAAAGTCACTTTGAAAAGTAACCTGTTATCATTACGCGAAAAAACTAAATATAACGAGTAACGAAGTAACGAAGTAGCTTTCAAATTTCGTTATTCTCGTTACTAGAAATTATAACTTAAAAGAAAAGTAATTACATAAAAAAAATAACGATAAAGGTAATTTCGTTACTTTTTTATGTAACGTATACAACCCTGCGAATTGTGGATACCATTACAAAAATTTTGTCTGTGATAGCCCTTAGGCCTGTTACACAACAGAGTTGCAAATTATAACCCGTAAAAAATTGGCTAATCACAGTTGAATATGACAAAAATAATCGACTATGACTATATTTACACGGCACCCTTAATCGGATTTAATAACATCCGTAGTCATGAAACTGGCTAATCACAGTCGTTCCATTCTTCCGAAGAACAGCTTTGATTGGCCAATTTCATAACTACGGATGTTATTAAACCCGATTAAAGCCCAAGACACAATGCGAAGGAATAGCGATAGTGATAGGAATAGCACGATTTCAATCTATCAAAAATCGGATACACCGGAATACACAGTTTCTGATAGGTTGAAACTATGTTATTCCTATCGCTATCACTATTCCCTCTCATTGTGTCTTGGGCTTAAGCGTGCCGTGTAGCAGAGGTCTATGATTGGTTAATTTTTTACGGCTTATGGCTTACGGTTCTAATAGGACCATCCTATATGTATAAATATACACATATGTTCACCTTAAGCCTTAGTTGTTTTCAAGATTTTGACGTGGGTAATTGCCAGCAAACAATTTGAAATTCAACCGTAATAATCTTGATCACTACGTCTAAGCAAGCATTGTGTGTAAGATATTAAATCATTAAAATTTCAGTTTTATAATTTAAATTCAGTTTTATAATTTAAGTTACAATTTATCGTTCTAATTTTATAAATCTCTTTTTTTATGATTTAGTCTGTCTTTAACACATTATTTTATTTCTACCTTTTTACTTTTCATAACAACTATTACTTTATTATAATTTTATTGTCTGGAATTAATCTGTTTTCACCGTCGAACGTAAAATAGATTTTAACTATTGTCTATTGCTCACTGAATTCTCTAATTTTCTATTTATCAGATTTTAAAATGACAAGCAATTATACGGTTTATTCTTAATATTTCTTTTTTCATACATATTAGTCATACAAAATATTGCTTTCAATCTTGATGACGGTTTCTTGTTTATAATTTCCTATTCGTAGGAAATTATATATACACCCATATATGTATATACCCATTGTTAGTTTGACCTACGTTTAACTATTTCACTCTGATTTTTAACGTTTTACGTTTTCAATCCAACATTTTATTTAATATTTTATTTACGTAAATTAGAAAAAAAATAAAGAAACGTTCATATGTAGAATAAACGTTCAAAATTATATATCGAATATCATTAATGATAAAATACATCAATTTAGCAGTAAAATGCATTAAAAGATGATGGATGACTTCGACAAAGATTTCGTACAGTCCTTATTCTTAAAGCGTAAAATTGGGTATCCATTAAAACCGGTACATATCATTATCTTTGATAATTCTATATCTAACTTGTGAATGTGTTACATTGGCTGTTTTAAACACTGTTTTAACAGTGTATTCACTTGTCATTTTGCAAAGTGTTTTAAACCGTTTAATGAGAAAAGTAATTATGTTAACGACGATTTCCGTGATATAATTTTCTTGATAAAAAATTTATGTTATTAAAAAATTATATTTTCTTATGGTTTTAGGTGGATACTTGAAAATAAACATATCTGCAAAAAAGTTGGACCGTGAGAACTACGAAAAGAATTTAGAAAACGTTAGAATAAAATTAATTGTGAAATATTCCTGAAGAGCAGAAAGAAGGAGAATACACCAATAATGCATAAGGGCACAAAAAGTATGTATGCCAACAGTGCGGTAAGATTTATATAGTTTAACAATTAATATTTTTAGTGTTTTTGATAACTTTGTATTATTTCAACAGTTATCCGCTTTATGTTATCATTTTCATATTTGTTTCATAACAACCATCTTCTTTATATTATTAAAGATAAGCAGTTGATCTTCTCAAAAACTCTGAAAGAACATAACATAAACGTATTTATTGCAGATAAACCCTACAAACGCGAAAATGGGAAAACGTTTACGTATAAACCGTATTATTGTTATAAGGCATTTATGTGTATAAAACCTTATCAATGCGAGCTTTGTGATGCGTCATTTAGGTGAGTACTTAAGTGAGGAACAAAAATTAAAGAAATTATTTGATAATTCGATATCTATGCTTAAATTAATTGATAAATGTTGCTACGGTCATTTTGTAGTCAAGGAAGAAATCTAAACAAGCACAAGGAGTTGGTGCATTACAATAATGAAAATTACAAGTGTATCGTGTCTTATTATTGCGCACTTTGTGATATATCATTTAGGTGAGTACTTAAGTGAGGAACAAAAATTAAAGGAATAATTCGATGTCTATGCTTAAATTAATTGATAAATGTTGCTACGGTCATTTTGTAGTGAAAGAGAGACTATATATGAGCACAAGGAGTTGGTGCATTACAATGATGAGAATTACGAGTGCATTATCAAGTGTCAGAACATTTTCAAAACAAAGCAGCATTTGCGTTTTTATGTAAATTTAAGTCACTACAGCAAAAGACTGTATAAATGTGACCGATGTCTATTATTTATTCATCCTAAGAAAAAACATAAATGCAGACAATATCTTTGCGAGGTATATGCTATAAAATCATCCTTAGTGTTTTTTTAAATTACTTCTCATTTGATTGTTTTTATTTTTATTCTGTAATCATAAATGTGCTATATTTTAGGTTTGCCATAAAATTTTTAGTAAGAAAAACTTTAGAGATGAGCACCATTTTGAACATAGCCATTTAAAGCAGTATGAATGTTCGCTGTGTAGCAAGGGCTACACGACAAAAGCATGTCTTATTGCACACATACGAAATGAGGTAATTTATAAGAAAGCGTTTAAATTCATTAGCAGATTTGTCCTTTCTATATTTATTATATACTCATAATTATATTATAACAGATTATTGTAATATACCACAACACATATATAAAAAATTATTTATTTTTTAGGGTCACATAAGTGATAGCATAGTGAAGAACAAATTGAAACCGATAATGAAATGGATCAAGTACAATTATAACTATGCGCTAGACACAGTATAAAATGAAACAATACGAATTGATGAAAGAAGTTGATAATAAAGATGTAACTTTTGTATGAGATATTACCCGTACGGCACAGAAACTTGTAGCAATATTGCTGCAATATTTCAACGTTGCATATTGCAATGCAATGTTGCAGAGACATTAGGAAGGCTTCTTTTTGCAATATTACTTCAGCAATGTTGCAGAATTATTTTATAAATATTACAAAAAATGTCTATGCTATTACATTTATTATAAAAATGCTTGGTTAAAAAAAGCTCATTAATTATAACAATAAGAATTACGTTTATAATTTTAATTTTATATGCATAAAATATCGAACGTCATTATATATATATATTTTTGCTGCAACTATATATATATATATATTTAGCTGCGTTCCATTTAATTAAACATACAACGTTCGTAATAATTAGCATATTAGCCTCATGACACATGTAATAAAACCATTCTACAAGAATTTCCTATAAGAGATTGATGCGTTGTAGAACAATGTTTTATTTTGAGTATTAAGACTTGTATATCTCGCGATATACTACTTGTGTATAACCCAATAAAGTAAGGACCTGCACACATATATGGTATAACGTACAATGGACACAAATAAGATACAAGATATATAAAATATAAAGACATAAATTATAATGTCATATTTTATTTGCATCCGTTGTATTATGTTACATTTAACTCCTATTTTTAATTTTTTTTCTTTAATATATCAATTATACAGTATAAAATCTTGCAACAAATTGAAAAACAAAAAGTAAAGGACTCTTAATTCTTGAAACAATAATAAGATAAAAAAGGGCATAATAATATGAATTAAGAGTCCTTTACTTTTTGTTTTTTTATTTATTGTAAGATTTTATACTGTACAATTGATATATTAAAGAAAAAAAATTAAAAATAGGAATTAAATGTAACATAATACAACGGATGCAAATAAAATACGACATTATGTCTTTATATTATTATATCTTTATATTATATGCAACAAATATTGCAATAACGTTGCAATATTACTACTTACAATATTAATGTTTCTGTAATATGCAGTAAGTATTCTTCAAATGTGTGCAAAACGTAATATTGCATATATGTATATTATATTGTAATATTGCTGCAACATTACATATCAATATTTCTGAAACGGACATTTTAACGTTGCTACAATATTGCTGAAATATTGCAGCAATATTTCACAATATCTGTGCAATGTTGCAATCTTGCAATGAAATCTTTCTGCAATGTTGCTGCAATATTTTTGTGCTGTACGGGTATATAGATGGAAATGTTCCAATAGATACAATTTTTCTAGGAGATACAATTGAATACTGTCAGACACAGAAACATCGTAAACTTGACAATGTATTTAGAAGACAAAACTATCCAGTAAATTCTTCATGCTTAATTCTTTTAATAATTTCAACAAAGGATCCCCCCCCCCGAACTAATCCTATGAAATTGGATCCCGGTGAAATCAAATGGTTTTCTCATATGTTATAGCTTATGACCTGCTAAACAAAACATATAAGTTTTAGTGCAAAAAAAATGAACAGTTTCTGTGTTTGATTCACCTAAAGTCACTGCCTTCTCACCATAAAATACTCAATAACTTCTAAATGGCTGACTTAAAATAGATAAAATTATAGTGTTTTGAAAAGATCTCAACAACGACTATAAGAAAATGAAAGAAAAAATGGTGGGGTCTCACTTAAAAAGTCCGTGTTGACCTTGTCATAACCTTGGCGATGCCACCCAAAGTCAAAGTGATGAAGCAAGTGGCTAGGCCTTTTTAAACTCTACAACTTTCATCTGAAACTTTTTTTATAAAATTTGTAGTTTTTGAGATATTTTGCTGTTTTGGAACATTTTATGTTCCTTATATGATTATATATGATGCTACATATAATTACATACTATCATATATAATGTCCAAGATATGTATACACATGTATAAAATGATACTTTGTTACAGAATATGTAGTGTAATTCTCTACTCTTAGCGTAATCCAGGACCAACAACATGGACGTGGTAGGAGTCTGATCCTGTGCGTGCGTGCATGCGTGCGTGTGTGTGACCGACCCCTACCACGTCCATGTCGTTGGTTCTAGATTACGCTAAGAGTAGGGAATTACATTACATATTCTGTAACGAAGTATCATTTTATACATGTGTACATATCTTGGACATTATATATGATAGTATGTAATTATATGTGGGATATAATTATATGTGGCACCATATATAATCATATAAGGAACATAAAATGTTTTAAGACGTCAAAATATCTCGAAAACTATAAGTTTTATAAAAAAATATTTCAGATAAAAGTTGTAGAGTTTAAAAAGGCCTAGCCACTTGCTTCATCACTTTGACTTTGGGTGGCATCGCCAAGGTTATGACAAGGTCAACACGGACTTTTTAAGTGAGACCCCCCTATTTTTTCTTTCATTTTCTTATAGTCGTTGTTGAGATCTTTTCAAAACACTATAATTTTATCCATTTTAGGTCAGTTGTTTAGAAGTTTTTGAGTATTTTATGGTGAGATGTCAGCGACTTTAGGTGAATCAAACACAAAAACTGTTCATTTTTTTGTGCTAAAACTTATATGTTTTGTTTAGCAGGTCATAAGCTATAACATATGAAAAAAACATTTGATTTCATCGGGATCCAATTTCATATATAGGATTAGTGCGGGGTTCTTTATGTCCTTGTTGGATTTAAGGTAGTACACTCGAGAATTGAAAACAGAATTTTATGAAATTGAAGCTATACATATTGTAGTAAAAGATGTTATGCTTGTGCAATTGCAATGAGATTGAGGTTTCAGTACTGAGATGTAAGCAATTGAAAACCGCACTTTTTATACGTTTCGCTTATACAAAGTTCATGAAAATGTCAAGTTTATTTTTGTAGAGCCTAAACTGGCAGTAATATCTTAATAATAAAGCGTGCGATATATAGAAGAATATGAAACAGATATTATGAAAAAAATATAATTTTTTACCATTTAGTTTGGAAAATAGATTCACGAAAAGACTTTAATTTTCGTAAACATTTAATTGTTAATCCGAAATGTGAATCGAAGGGAGATAGCAATCGCTTCGATTGCAATCGAGCTTCGTTGGTCTATTTATGTTCATTTTTTTCCGCAAGTGCGTGTGGTCATAGCAATCAAAAGTTTTCTGTCATTGGTGGGAATAGAAAGTGAGAGTATTGTTACCGAGCACGCGAGAGGATTTAACTTCTGAATGATATTGTCACGAGAGTACTACCAAAGTTACGTTCTGTACTTGCGTTTACAATTATAAACATTATATGTGCTTAATATTTGATGGACAATAAAGATGAAATGATACGTGTGGACATAAAAACGAAACTTACCTTAAATTTATAGAATAATTGAAACAAAGTTATTATCATTTAGTGCTATTTTAGGCTGCGTCTTCAGAATATAGTCTAATTTTAAGATTGGATGTACATGATGACTATTATTTTTGTATGTATGACTATCACTTATGTATGTATTATCGACAAACAAGTATTATATTAAAGCAATTGATATTGGAGCATTAGTAATTTGTTCTTGTCTCAATTATTGTATCATCGCCATAATATTATTGTATACAGTTTTATGTAAAAACCTCTTAATATTAATACTATAATAATGATTGTTGTGCTATGAAGAGACAGGACTCCGTTTGCCGACAAATTGACTTATACAGTACCATTTTCCTACATCATATTTGCCGACAGTTCATTTGCGCACAAAAATTATTGCCTGCAACTCGATTACCTACATGCCCTATTCTCTGCTTTAAAAACGCAAATTCTCTGTTTTAAAAGCACAAATTATTTTCTTATATAAGTGAAGTGTTTGTAGACAATCAATCTGTAAGCAATAATACTTATGTGCAAACAAAACGTTGCTTCTTGATTTTATTTTCTTATACAAAAATGCTTGCAATAATTCAACGTGTAAGCAAATGTGACTAATTCGTCTCTGAAATTTTTATTTGTGCACAAAAGTGCTTGTAGATATGTAGTCAATCGATCTGTAAATATGTAGCAATCGATCTGCAATCAATAATATGTGTTCAATGCAATTTGTGTACAATAGTGTCATGTGTGCACATGTGCCTTTTTCTCTTAATTTTATATTTGTGCGCAATAGTGCGTGTAGGAAATCGAACTGTAGGCAATAATTATCGTGCACAAACGAACTGTTGGTAAATGTGATGTAAGCAATCAATTTCTGAGTAAAGGGAGCTTTCTCTTTCGGAGGGCTGCGAATTTTCTAAGTAAGTTAGATTAAATGCAGCAGATGAACAGCAATAAATATAATTTTAGTGTAGTTATTCAATTTCACCATATTATGTAACTTATTTGTGCAGTGTCAAAGTTGATTTTCATTTAAATATCAAACAATATCCTTATGTTCATTAATCATCCGTGAACCAGGTGGGGTGTGACATGATCCCAACAAGATGAATTTCTATAACTTCCTAAAAAGTACCGCGCACATGTTGCCAGTTTCATGCAACTGGAGAGTGCGTTGTCACCAATCATACTAAATTACAGTATATTTATGATAAAGTATATGAGATACACCCACATATGACCCATATTGATTTTCCACCTTGTTCGCGTTTTTACTACTAAAAATCATTTATATATCAAAAATTTTTTTAAAGGTATGCCTAAAAATTAGTGATACATAGGTATGTGTCATATATGCCTGGTAAAAAATGTTTCATGCACGAATATAAATATATAAATATATATATATAAATATGCATATATAACATTCATAAATATTTTACGGAGATAATTTTTGCATTGTTTGTTTTAGAAAAAATCAAGTTTAGAAAAATATAAAAGAATTGCTCATAATTATATAAAATTATACATAGTTATATGTATAATTATGTACAGTTTTTTACATTTATCCGAATTTGACTTTTTTAAAAACAAACAATGCGAAAATTATCCTTGTAATTATTTTTTGTGCTTTTTCCCTATTTTATTATTTTTGTTATACTAAGAACTTATACGAGAAAATACCAAAGGAGACAGTTGTTCGATTCGAAGAGACACATATTATAATGAGCAAAAAATTTTTCTTAAGATCATATTTTTTG